TAAGAGGGTCTTTGCCTTTTATCAAATCACTCTTGCCAGGAGAAGAAAACTGCGCTTGTCCTGCATTTCAGTCTTAAAATTTCACTTGTGTATGTTGAATACCTCTTCAAACTAAACCCCATTAACTTTTGACTGCTTATTGATAATTTCTGCCCTCAAAGTGGTCTGTAGCTATGAACCCAGCTATTTCTGTTGAACCTGCTTTTCTACACTAATGCAACTTTTGGAAAAACTGGAAAAGAATTTGTTGTGGCTTTTCTTCTTAGTTTGGGAAAAATATAATGATATACACTACTTTGAGAGAACATTCTCTAATAATTTCTAAAGCTAGCAATGCCATGGTGGTGGGGAAATCCTGTGTGAAAGCTGAAGTATCTTAATCCAGAGCAATTAAACTTGCCTTTTACCTCCTGCTGTTTCCAGAGGACCATTCATGAGTACATTTATAACCTAGATTCTGTAGTTTTGGCAGTTGTTCTTTTACCAGTAGGCAGAACTCCAGGAGTAGTTTACTCACTGGATTTCTAAACCCACCTATGCACAGGTATTAACTTACATGCAGTCTGAAAAAGGGCAGATGGGGATGTATTCCTCTTCTTTTCAGGCTGTAGTGGCCATGAGCTGCCTTGTAACCTTTTTTTAGCAATTGCTTTAGAACAGCATTGAATTAAACCATGCTTTTATATTTTGGCAAGGCTTCCTTGAGGCAGAGCGAGCTCTGGTAATACAACATTTTGAATGTTGAACAGCTCATTATTGCAAATGTTGTTTGGTAACATAGAGCAAGCTTTGTAGCTTCAGAGGATAAAAAAATCCCACTGAGGTAGCCATATGCATTAACCCACTTTGAATGTCTCATCTAATATATACACTCAAATGCTGTGGAAGTGGTTTGGCAAAAGACAGATACTCATCTGTTACAAACAAATTTTGTGTAAATCCACCTGAGCTGCTCAGACTGCACTTAAGGATACAGAGACAGGCAAATTACTGGCATTTTCAATATTGAAGTGTTGGGACAAGCAGAGACTGAGCTCTGGAAGCTAAACTGAATAGTTTCTGAAAGTTTAACCACCCCTTGTTCCTTGTGTGTGACTTTGATAACTTAATTAGTAAAACAAAATTAAATGGGGAAAAAACATTCCTTACTTCCTTGGCTGAAGAGCATACTTTATGTGGCGTGTTTGCCACAGGCTGCACCTCATTCTAAGCAATACCTAAACTTAAAACTACATGGAAAATCTTGGCTTTGCTACCAGTGTTGAAAATAGCTATTAAAATCCTAGCTGAAGGAGGTACTTTGTACTTCATAAATACAAAAAAGCATTATGCTTTTTTTAAATGACACTGCTAGCATGACTAGTGCTACAGAGCAGACTTGAGCTTGGAAGTGCAAGGGCCAAAGCTTGTACTCCAGGCTATAACTCCAGTAAGCTGCAATCCTACACAAGACACGAGTGCTGAAAGGACACAGATGCTGATTGCCCCAAAATGCTGTGAATAAACTGGTGAAGAAATCAGCTGAAACTTCTGAAGTTTCCCAAAATTAAGAAAAGAAGTAGATTTCTAACAGAAAGAATGGCAGGAGCAGCTGCACCATGGCTTAACATACATCCTCTGAGTATGCCCCACCAGGAACTAGGGGAGTCACTCAACCAAAACAGTACAGAGAGTCCTAAAAGTGCTCAAAACTACAAGTGGATGGACATTACTGAGTCTGAACAAAGTATAAATCACTTGCCCCTTGTGGTTTGCTTCTCTCAGTCTTTTGTTTCACATAACAGTAGTTTCATAGGGTTGAGCTAAATGTTAGTTGGAAAGTAGCAGACACTTTCCTTGCCTGATGGAACTAAAACAATTGGGAAAGTCCTGGTGAACACAGAGCTACTCCTCCACTCCTAAAATGCTTCTTTGGGGTTCTGGAAGAGACTGATCCCACTCAGCACAGTTACCTGGTTGTGTCCTTGCTGCATTTTGGTGTCCGGGTCCTAGCTGAAACACACATGGTGCCTGTTCAGATGTGGAGGTCTCATTGTCCTGACCAGCACAGCAGTGTATGCATGGCTAAACTGTAGATCCTGCATACCCTGCAGCATGGCATATACAGCACAGAAAATGGAGCAACATCTTGCTCCACCACAGGCTGTAACAAACTAGCTTGGATTTGAAAAGGGCCGGGATTTCAGCCACAGGCTAATTTATAGTTCATTGTTTCCAGCTGATGGCCCTCCCTGAGCACCTGGTTTTCTGTCCCTCTGCAGAAAGCTCTCTGACTGGGGAGTCTCTGATGCTACATTGTATGATGAGATTTCAAGACATGTGAAGGAGCTTTGGTGGTAGCAGCTTTTGCTAGGACCTATCACTCTTCACGTATCAGTAAAACATATAATACTGAGTGGTGTTAATGAGATTCTAATCTGCTATTTTTCTCTGCCTTTTATTTTGTTTCTCCTCCTTCTCCCCAAGGAAAGAAAAAAACCTGGCAATCTCCTGCCTCTTAGATGTACTTCAAGCTCAGTGTTGTGGTAAAAAAGGAGCCTAGCAGAGCCCTGCACATGGAGAACGCTGCTGAGCTGCACTTAATGATGCCTCTTAGGATCAGCTGTGCTGCTAGAAAACACTTCATTTCCTGTGGCTTTCTTTCTTTATAAGCAAAGTGCAGCTCCAATGGCTCTCCCAACAATTAGCACCCACTTGTTCTGCAGGTTTGAAGTTTTTTGCATTAGTCAGGTTGAGAAATTCATGGTATTAATCATGACTGAAGTTGTTATTTATCACCTGCTGGGTGAGAAATAATAATTTTGGCACTACTGGGGCAGCAGGCCAGAAGTACCAAATTAAGTAAAACATCTAAACACTAGCAAGGATCATTTCTCTGATTAATGAATTGTTACAAAGAAAAAGTGCTACTCGTTATCTGATCTTAGGATAAAAGTGGGAGTTGGAGGTAGGAAGCATTAGCAAAGTCAGGCTGTACCCTGGTGTAGTTTGGAACTTTCCTGGCTGATCTCTCTTCTGTCGTTCACTAACTGCGAACATGCACCCATCTGCGTTGCAGGGTTGCGGTACTTGGCTCACACACCCAATGCCAGCTTCTTAAAGTAGTATTTGGCAGGGAGCTCAAGGCCTGTTGTGTAATCGCCTCGAAAGAACTGTTGAAATGACTTTAACCTTCTAGGGCTTGTCCAGGCTGGAAGTTTTGCCATAGGAACAGTTGCCAGCCTGGCAAAATACCACTGTCTGAAGGCAGTAATGGTGCAGGAAACAAAACCAGTGACACCAACAGAATTGTATTTACGCCCAGGTAAGTGTATCCATACTGGGGCTGTCAGTCACCTATGGGATTAAAAGAGCCCACAGATTCCAGCTGCGTGATCAGAAACATTTCACATGTAAATACAAAAAGGGTTGGCCTATACAGAAGTGGTTACATTGAGATAAGGCCTGTGTGTGCTGCTACAACCCTAAGCTACCATGTCACCATGACATATCACATCGTCTCCCTGCAAGACCATTGCGGGGAGCTGAGGACCTGACCTCATAGCAATACCCACAGAAAGGCTATTTTCTGTGTTCATAAATAAGATGTAAAAACTGACTGTTAGCCTTGAATTGGTTGAAGAACCCAGCCTGCAAAAGAAGTGCCACAGTGAAACTTCAAGGGTAATTCTGTTTGCTTGTTGAAAACACAAGAAAAAAGTACAATTTTGACCAGGTTTTCTTGACTTCAAAGCTCTCTTCAGTGGCTGGCCACGCCATTCTCTCACTGCTAAGATCAACAGTTTTTGTCACCGATACACAGGATTATTGCCCGAGATTATCTTGTGAAAATTATCTTGTGAAAATTATCTCAGATGTTATCTCTTGGGCTGTTACATTAACAGCTGCCCACTTTCTTTTCTTGTCAAGACAATAAAAACTTCCCTTTAGGTCCACTGCTGTTTCTAGCCTGATTCCTGCAAATTCCTTTGCAGTTTTTATTGGCTCCTTTCCTTAGAAGTGTGTAGCATCTTGATCTACAATGCCTTCTAGCCAAAAAGTGTATAGCTGAGATTGCCGACTATCTGCATGATCTTTTTCATTTGCAGTTTTAAGTCTGTGTTGTGGCATGTTTAAGGAACCAGTTGATGAAGATGAGCAATTTGGGGCATTATGGGAAGGGTACGTTTTTATCTACTTAAATAAACTTCTCTCCAGCATATTTTTTGTAGGTTATAACATTTTGTAGAAGGCAGGCAGGCTGCTGGGGGGGCGTGTGTGTGTAAACATCACATACCTGACTTTGACATGTGTATTGCGTACAAACGTTGAGTGCAAAGGTCTTGCTTTTATGCCAAAGCACACTTGTAGCAAAACCTAAACACACCACTGTGGAAAATGCTACCTGTCATCTGATGGAAATGGTTTTGACACACAGCGGACAGCTCCTGCAGACCTGTTTCTATGGAGGCGCTTTCATTTGGTTCAGTGCATCTTCCTGGGGCCTGTCCTGCTGCCCCTTCTCTCTGACATCTATTTGTGATCCCCCTGCTTTTGCTGCTGCTTCAGGCTTTTCCTGCACCGGGGAAAGGAGGGTCATCCTTAGGAAAGGTTTTCATGCCTGTGGACTGTATTCCTCCCTCTGATTTGAAAGAGATTCCTTGTGCCAGTAAAATCACTCCAGCGTGAACAGAGAAACCAGCAAGCTTTCTAGGAGTTGTTTAGGCAGACAGCAACATCCTGCAAGCCTTCTGCTCTGTGTATCTATAGCGAGTCCAAATGCTACTGCCACAGGAAACACATGGTGTTTCCATGAATGATGATGCTGAAAATCTGCTTTTCTAAGTTACTAATCACAAACAATTCCAATGAAAGGTAATTTGTGTTACTTTTTAAACAAGGTCCGACAAAATTCAACATTGGAAAAATGGAAAGTAAGATCAAAACTCATTTGGATAATGCGGTTTTCTCCAATTTGTTTGGGATTTTGGTATTATAATACTAAGAAATTATCAATGTAGTCATAAACTGTAATTTACTGAGAAGCAGGCCCTGAAAAGCTTGGAAGCGCAAGGAACAGAATCCTCACTCCCGAGGGGGTTAAAACTGCAAAATGCTTAAACGAAGCTTCCAAAAGAGGGTAAAACTGATAGTGAGAAGAGAATGGCATTGCCTTTCAATCCTTAAATCAGCTCAGTGAGTTCCTCAGTATATCGTCCTCCTCACTGCAGCGAATTGGAGCCATCTCTTGCACCAAAGCCAACAGAAATTGTTTGATGCATCCCATTTGAAACGTCATTGATCTGTAATTGAACGAGTGATTTCTAGCCAAAGATTACAAAATACTTGGCAAACTTCTCCAAGTGGGTGAGTCAGAGAGAAAAACCTGCCTGACAGAAGAGCAAGTCAAGCTACAGCAGTTGCAAGTAATTTGTCCCAAATGTGAACAGGACAAAATCTAGAGCAGGAGGCTGGGTCGCCAGCTCCATGCTCCAACCACCACACTGCATTCTTTGATGCTTTTTTAACCACAACAGCCTCTAAAAATCACCCTTTCAAAGGCATTTCTTGGTAGTAATAAATGAACCATCCAAACCTAAATAAAGAACCCAGCAGTTGAGATTATGCAATTTAACAAATAGAAATGATTAAGATTGCCTTGTCCTCTGCTTATTTCCAAAAGAATAAAGCCCAGGTCATTTGTAAAGCCTTTCCCCTTCCCCTCTCCTTTGCAGCCCCTTGGGAGTTACCCAGGAGACAGCACCACTTTCCTCTGCTTCCCCATCTTTAAAATATATTCATTCCAGTTTTCAAATTGCTATTTTGTAGTGCTAAATCTTTACCCGCACTAATTTCTCCAGGTCAGAATCTCACCCTGATTTGAACAAAATCTGGAGTCAAATATTCACATCAGAATGCTTTTGCCTTGCTGTGTGTCAGATGCCATCTCCCTGCAAATGTTTCACACACCTTGGAGTGCAGCTTGTGGAACTGATGAGGTGAAGAGCACTGCAGAGCAGCTCTGTGCTGGTAATCACAGGATTGAAGAAACACATACATCATCTGCCACATAGGTTGGCATTTCAAGTAAAAAACCTTCACAATGTGTAAGATGTTGGACAAATGATGGCCATATGCATGTTTGTCTCTGCGCAGATGTCTTTGCATTCTCAGCTAGGAAAAAGCTGAGGTAGGCTTTTTTTTGCCAACAGTTTAATATTAGTGACACAGTTTATGTCCTCCGCAAAAACAATAATGGAGGATAAGGTGACATAAATTATTTGCAAATCGTTTGACATATGCAGGGCATTGTCCTTGCAATAATCACCATCAGTCTGTCAGTTTAAGATATGAACCGTGCCACTGCCATTTTATATCATTGTGTTAAGCTTTCACATGTTGTAATTTTACAGATTTGTTCTTTGGAGAACGCTGCAACACAAATCAAGTCGTATTATGTTTAGTCATACGCCGTGTGGAGCACCTCCCTGCAATTAGGGGCGCAGGGAGATGAGGAGCAAACAAACAGTCCTAGATAAGAAGCAGCTCCTCAAAAGTTAGGATATTTCCTAGATACCATTACTCAGCTTTCATGGTCATTATTCAAGGCAAGAGGAATTATTTAAATTCATGCTAACATCAGTTGCTGGCTGCACGAACAAAGTGAGCACTGGAAAGCACCATACTGACAGATTAATTTAAAACACCCTTGTCTGTTTTGTTTCTCTATAACAGTCAGGCAGAACATTTGATTCTTATGAATAATGTGGGGTTTTCTAAAGTAAATATACAGTTTTCTTTTCAGCTCACAAAAGATCCCTTCAAGACCCGATAGGTGCCTGTAGTATTAACCCTGCTGTCCCATAGACACACAGAATGGTTCTGGAATAACAATGAACTCAGCATTGTCTCTTTTATTCCAGGCAATTTAATTCCCGTGTTATAGCTTAAAAAAAAAGCCTGAACTGCCTATTTTTTAGTTTTTTTTTTTTTTTTAATTTGAATCGCAGGTTACTGTGGGAGTCATTCACAAGTACATTGTATGTGTATTCAGTGCCAGGTACTTTACATAAACTGTTTGAGAAATGCATTAGTCTGCAAGTGTATTTAATTGGTAAAGGAATCAGTAGGAAATACTGCAATATACATTCTGGAGAATCACTTTTCAGAGACTTTTAACTGTATTTTGAATACAGAAACATTATTTGTTTTCCCCTGGGAAAGTTCCCCACATTCAGTTGTCAGCAGAACAGAATCTTTCTGCTTCCAGTGAGCCCTTAAACTAGAAAGATTTATTGCACTTACACCCTTGAAAGAACATATCTTTTTCTTTGAAGGCAGCCATTATCACCATCCCATTTTATATCTTTTCTGATAAGTGCAGGCAGTAAAGCAGATAAACTCCTTGCATACCAATTAAAGACACATACACACTAAGACACTGTATACTATCAGAGATGCTCAGAGTAATATTCTTCCTAGCACAGTAGATATATCTAAGGAGTTTGACTTTTATTATTCTCAGCTTTACACCTCTGACATTTCTAAAACCAGGGAGGAAATTAATGAATTCTCACCCAAGACTCCATTGTCTAATCTTGCCCCAGTGCTCATGAATTATGGAAAATGACAGATCAGCTGATGACGTACAACAGGCTATTTTAAAACAACCCTTTCTAACAAAACCCGGACCATGAAATGCTCACCACTGAATTTCATGCCATCACCTGACAAAACATTGGCCTCTTGCTAATTGAGACCTTAAATAACTGTCTCGCTTCCTCGCATAGAAGACGTTGTGCTCATGTTTTATGCACAAATGGTATGAAAGCCAGACTGCTGAACCTCAGAAAGCCTCTATTTTTTATTCTCAGATAGGATGCTGAAGTGCAGACCTAGCTCCATTTTGAGATTGAGCTCAATAACTTTTTAAGGTTTGTAAACACAACCTCTTCCACCTACCTGTGTAACTACTTATTCTTCTAGTACATTTTCCCAGGCAGATAAAAGGTCTCAGCTCATCCTCAATGGTGAGACCAAGAGGATTTTTATGAGAAGGGCCCACTCAGCTGAGATAATTTCAAGGATCTGGCTTTAACAACTGAGCCTTAGCAGCAGCTGTGCAAGCCCAAGGGTTGTTTGACCCATAATGCTTGGGCAGCCTATGAAGCCTTTGGCTAGGACATCTCCCATACCTTCTCTGTCCCAGTTAGTGTGCAAATTCAGTGGGCTAGGAGCCACCCTGGTGCATTTCTTTCCCAATAAATAAAAGCCCCTGAGCACTACCAAAGGCAGTAATGCCAGTGAGGGTCTGCCCTGCTCTCCCCTCACAGCTGGGACCACTGAAAGCTTTAACCTGCTCCCCAACAACCCCACAACCAAGAAGTCCCACACACCCACCTCCTTTCTTCTTCTGCACTCCAATTTAAGATATTTTAGTATATTTACTCACAACATTATTGTCAGGTGGACAATCAGCTGTGTGCAGTGTTATCTGTGAACTTATTTTTACCTCTCCAAGAATCTCACCCAGGGTTTTTCCTGAAGCACAGCATCTGAGCACATCAGTGACTGCCTTGTGTACAGTGGCTGAGATACCAGTTTTCTGTCAGGGTTCCCTTTAGATAAGAAACTATGGAAAGCCATACATCTCATTCAAAACACCTGAAAGAGCTGAAGATGCAGAAGGCACTAATCAGTAATTAATACAAATAAAAGAAACAATCTTTCATGTAGGTGGTAATAATAACACTCTGGAGTTTGTTCTAATCCATCTTTTTGTCAAATGAAGCACCAGGGAATTTGTCTGCAGCAATCGGAGTATTTTCAGAGCCTCTGCTTTGATTTGCAATATGTGGTTTAGTCCTGTGTTAACAGAATGAATAATCAAAGGGAATGGTTTAAAAACTGATAAGCTAGGCTTCAATATGCAGAGGAATTCTTCTATGCCTTTATACCCAGCTTACAAGTCAGTTATCCAATTTAAGAAACCCCCTGTTCACCTTATGCAGAAATTGAAAAAGTGCAACAGTACCCATTGCACAAATTCTGATAGCTCCCTTTCTTCTGCATTAAATCACTGAAAGCAGCTGGAATAAGGGGCTTCTACCCTCCCTCTCCAGAGAAACAGTGTCTTCCAGAACATCAGACAATCCTGAAATCCTTTCAATAGCCCTGTATTCATTATATTTAGTGACAATTACACAAGTGGCTTCCTGACTGCAAATATGATTCATTACTCTGCAGCAGAAGTAATACCTCTAAGAGACTATGCATTGAGTTGACCCAAAATAGCTGTTGAAGAACAGTTGTTCCTGAACTACTCCATGGATAGATGTTTTTAAGTGATTATAACCATATATAAGAAGAACAGATTATCCTGCTGTGTAATTGTTTAGCACTACCCCCAAATCTTTATGTAAACTAAATTTCAAATATGGACAACAATAAGCAGTGTTTAACAAGGACTTTTTTAGGAGCAATTTCCCTGGAACATGCTGGGAGGTTTTAAGCCCTATTTTAAATTAAACAATTTGCAGTCAGTGTTTAGTCAACCCTTAGCTCCACTATTACCATCGCTCTTCAAGTTAAAAAAAAAGAAGAAGAGAAATATAACAGTAATTCTTTCTTCAGAGAAAAGGGAGTAGAAATTGAATATTTCAACCTTGATAGACCTGAGGATGCAGTTCCAGCTCCCTCTCCGCTCTGGAATAATGCAGACAGCTTAACCTTGCTTGGGACAGCACTACCCCAGCGCCTGCAAGCCTGGCTTCAATGCGGTGGTGCTGCCCTGTTATTGAGTTTGAAACCTACACAGTGCTGAGCAGCAGGGTTTCACTGCATGCACAAATTAGGAAGCCTGGAAATGATCTCAAAAGGTTACTCCCCTACTGCAGAGCCCTACACCGTGAAGACAAGCCTATTTTGCTTGTGCACTACCACTGTCCTCCTAGGAAGGGATAGCTCACAGGCCTGCACTGAGCACCTTCAGGTCACCCTCAATGTCCAAAGCAGACCTCAACAATGCTGTGTGCCACCCTGGCTCCATCTCCCTTACACAGAGCTCCTCAGCACATCCATTTCCTAAATTCACTACCCCAGAGCAAGGCAGGCAGCAGGTGGCCAAGGGGATTTTTGACATAGCCAGACTCATGCCCTTGCTCTTAGGACAGGCAGAAAGTAAGGACTAGGGGAAAATCGGGGCCTCACATCCTCCCTCTCAGTGATGCCAACTGCAGTTATCCGTGAACTTCAGAGAGGCCAAATTTTCGTCTGCATTTTCCAGGATTTCTGTGGGCACAGCAGGCATGCCCAAGGGGAAACCCAATCTACCAGCTTTCAAAAGAAGCCAAAGAAATACTCCATTGCTTTTACATGGATGATACTGAACACTTGTGCCATAATCTTCTTTCAGCTCCTTTTGTATTCGTTTTCATAGCAGTCGCTCAGAGTAGCCTTCCGGACTACAGCTACTGCCAAAGAGGAAGGCTGGGAGGCCTGAGCTCAGTATGAAATGATCCAGGTGGGTGCTCTCAGCTCAGCTTTAAAATCTTTATTAGTTTTTCAGCTTCCTGTCCAAGTGTTGTGCCTGCTCCCTTGATCAGAGCAATGGCAATTTAAACCAAACCTCACCACATGCAATGGCTGGTGCTATTGCTGAGCACCTCACTGATGAGGTCTCATCGTATTCCCAGTGTCCCATCTTGCTGCTCGTCTCTCTGATCTAGCTTGTAAAACAGCATTCTACAATGCTGGTATGTAATTTAAAAAACATAAGAAGTAATAATTAAACATTAAATCAGATTAATTTGAGGCTCCTTTGCCCTGGATAATAATACTATTAATTCTGTAGAGACAAAAGTAAGACAATTGTGTGAAAAGAAAGCACAAATAAAGTCCATAAAATGCAGAGGAAATATTTAATTTTGTTTTGTTTTAATTTTGTAATGCCGAGTATTCATGTTGTAATGTGGTGGTGACATAAATTATGCAACAGCAACAAACAGAGGAAAGCTGATAGACTGTTTCTCCTTAAAGCGCACATTGCTCTGGAACAGTTGAGTTTGGTCCTGAGATGAGACTGCCTACACAGGCATTTTCAAAGGGCTCTTTCAAGGCCGTTGTGCCACTTTCAGCTCTGACATGGGATCAAAATTAAAGCTGGGGAATCACATGAAACCACAGCCAGGCTGTGTGGGCCAGCTTCAGAGAGGACAGCTATAAGAGCTAATTTTTTGTGTTCTTGTGGGTGTTCCCATGCTTGCTGTCTTCATATCAAAGGTGCTCTGTTTATAGACAGCAATCTGTTGGTGCCAGGCAGTGATGGCTGTGTGATATGAGGGAGGTGAGGCACTGGAACAGTGCCAGAGAAACTGTGGATGCCCTATCCTTGCCAGTGCTCAAGGCCAGGTTGGATGGAGCAACCTGGTCTGGTGGAAGGTGTCCCTGCCTATGGCAGGGGGTTGGAACTAGATGAGCTTTAAGGTCCCTTCCAATCCAAACCAGTCTGTGAATCCATGATTCTATGATATATGGCCATGGCAAAATGAGCCCTTCCATGGGTTATCACTGGCTCTAATTAAAGGAAGACACAGAGGTCTCTTTCATTGGAGCTGAGAGGACAGCAATCTCCAGAGGAGCTGCAAAAGAGCACAGATTCATTTGACTGACTGCATGATGTCTGAATTAATGGCCAGGAAAAGAGCTATTATTGTGCCCTTGCTGGTAGGCTGCTTCAGAGAGCTCTTGCTGCACTATCTGCTTAAGTGTGCAGGCAAAAACTACGCGCTCCTCTACACTACTAAGCAAGGCAGGAGCCAAGCTGATGTGTCGAGCATTTCCTGGATCAATTTTACAAGGCTGAGTGTCTGATACATAATGAATGTTCAATAAGCTGAAATACAAATACTCTGCAAGCAGCAGGCTGTTAGTCAAACCAATGCTGCTCTAACTTTTAAAACAGATTTTTTGTTTTATTGACAATGCAGGCAGCAGAGACAAAGCAAAGCAGCATTAACCACAGCTCCAAGCAACTTTGGCTGCTGGTCTTCTTTGTGTCTCCTGGTTTCTGAGGCTGGGAAAAAAAGTCACTAATTAAGTCAATGTAGCTAATCTGGAGCTGCTGGGAGGAAAGGGGTGGGGTGTAATTGCTATCAAATAGCAATGGCTGTTGTGGTTTAATCTCAGCCAGCAACTAAGCCTGCCCCAGCCACTTGCTCACTCCCCCTTGGTGGGATGGGTGAGAGAATGAGAAGAGTAAAAGAAAGCTCATGGGTTGAGATGAAGACAGTTTAATGTGTAAAGCAAAAGCTGTGAGTGCAGGCAAAGCAACACAAGGTATTCACTCACCACTATATCCAGGAAAGCATTGCTTCATCATATGTAACGGAAACTTGGGAAGACAATGGCATTGCTCTGAAAATTTCCCCTTCCTTCTTCTCCCCTCTGCTTTATATGCTGAGTATGACATCATATGGTATGGAATATCCTTCTGGTTAGCTGGGGTCAGTTATCCCGGCTGTGTCCCCTCCTAACTCCTTGTGCAGCCCAGCCTGCTTGATGGTGGGGTGAGAAGCAGAAAAGGCCTTGATGCTGTAAAAGCGCTGTTCAGCAATGACTAAACCATCCCTGAATTATCAACACTGTTTTCAGCACAAACCCAAAACACAGCCCCATACAAGCTATGAAGAATATTAACTCTCTCCCAGCCAGCCAAACCCAGCACAGTTGTCCAGCACGCTTTTGACAGGTGGGAAACCCTTCTTCAAGCCCTTGGTATTGGGGGCCACTTCTTTGGGGGGAGGGCTTAATTCTTAAGAAAGCACTGTCAAGTTATTCTTGGTGTGTGTAAGCAATCTGCCTTCTCTCAGCATTTCAGTAACCTTACAAAACTGGAGCAATTTCCAGACCTAAAATTAAATACACAAGCTGTAGCAGGCTTGCAGGCTGGAACAAACTTGCAAGCAACAACCTGCTTCCAACATCGCATTTGAATGTAATACTTACATTTCTAAGCTCTTCAGGATCACAACAGACTTCTGGCTGAATGGAATTAACTCCAGACTAGAGTCTGCACTACATGGCTGGCATCATCTCTCAC